GAGATTTTTTGGGGGATTTGGGGGCATTTGGGGCCATTCTGGGGGATTTGGGGACACTTGGGGACATTTGGGGACATTTTGGGACATTTCAGGGACATTCGGGGGGATTTTGGGACATTCGGGGACATTTGAGAGGATTTGGGGACATTTGGGGACATTTTGGGAGGATTTGGGGACATTTGGGGACACTTTTGGGGCTCTGGGGACATTTGGGGACATTTTGGGGGAGTTTGGGGACATTTGGGGACATTTGGGAGATATTCAAGAAGATTTGGGGACATTCTGGGGGGATTTAGGGACATTTTGGGGCCATTTGAGGACATTTGGGGACATTTGGGGACATTTGGAGGAGTTTTAGGGACATTTTGGGGCCATTTGGGGCCGTTTTTGGGGGTTTGGGGCCATTTTGGGGCCATTTTGGGGTTTTTGGGCCATTTTTGGGGCCATTTTGGGGTTTTGGGGCCATTTTTTGGGGTTTTGGGGCCATTTTTGGGGGTTTGGGGCTGTTTTGGGGGGATTTGGGGCCATTTTGAGGCCGTTTTTGGGGTTTTGGGGCCATTTTTGGGGATTTGGGGCCATTTTTGGGGTTTTGGGGCCATTTTTGGGGTTTTGGGGCCATTTTTGGGGTTTGGGGCCATTTTGGGGGATTTGGGGCCGTTTTTGGGGTTTTGGGGCCGTTTTTGGGGATTTTTGGGGCCGTTTTGGGGGATTTGGGGCCATTTTGGGGTCATTTTTGGGGTTTTGGGGCCATTTTTGGGGATTTGGGGCCATTTCTGGGAATTTGGGGCCATTTTGGGGGATTTGGGGCCATTTTTGGGAGTTTCGGGGCCATTTTTGGGGATTTGGGGCCGTTTTTGGGGATTTGGGGCCATTTTTGGGAGTTTCGGGGCCGCTTTTGGGGATTTGGGGCCATTTTTGGGGGATTTGGGGCCATTTTGGGGGTTTTGGGGCCATTTTGGGGATTTTTGGGGCCATTTTGGGGGGTTTTGGGGCCGTTTTTGGGGATTTGGGGCTGTTTTTGGGGTTTTGGGGCCGTTTTTGGGGTCAGAGGCGCAGGTGGGGGACAGCTCTGGTGACATCGCGGAAGAAGGGGTGGCCCAGGGCGGCCTTGGCCGAAATTCTCTTGTTGGGGTCGTAGTGCAGCATTTGCTGGGGAGAAAAACCGGGAAAATGGGAAAAAACGGGGAAAAAACGGGGAAAAATCAGGGGGAAAATTGGGATAAAATCAGGGAAAAAATCAGGGGGAAAAGTGGGAAAAAAAACCGGGAAAAAAAATCGGGAAAAATGGGAGAAAATTCAGAAAAAAATCGGGGGGAAAAAGGTGAGGTGGGAAAAGTGGGGAAGAAGTGGGAAAAGTTGGGAAAAAAGTGGGGAAAATTGGGAAAAACGTGGAAAAATTGGGAAAATATGGGAAAAAATGGGAGAAGTGTGGAAAAATTGGGGAGAAAAAGGGGAAAAATCAGGGGAAAGTGGTAAAAATGGGGGGAAAGTGGGAAAAAGTTGGGAAAAGTTGGGAAAAGTGGGGAAAAATTGGGAAAAATCGGGAAAAAGTCGGAAAAGTTGGGAAATTGGGGATAAAGTGGGAAAAGTGAAAAAAGTGGGAAAAATCAGGGAAAAATCAGGAAAAATGGGGAAAATGTGAGAAAAATTGGGAAAAAAATTGGGAAAACTCAAGGAAAAATCAGGGAAAATGGGGGAAAAGTGGGAAAAATTGGGAAAAATGGGGGGAAAATTGGGGAAAATAGGGGAAAAGTGGGGAAAATATGGGAAAAGTGGGAAAAAATCGGGAAAACTTGGGAAAAATTGGGAAAAAAAGTGGGAAAATTTGGGAAAAATTGGGGTAAAAGTGGGAAAAATGAAGAAAAAGTGGGAAAAAGGCGGGAAAAATCAGGAAAAAAGGGGGAAAAATGAGGGGAAAGTGGGAAAAATTGGAAAAAACTGGGAAAAGCGGGAAAAAGGTGGGAATAATGGGGGGAAAATGGGAAAAATGGGGGAAAAATTGGGAAAAATAGGGGAAAAGTGGAAAAAAATGGGGGAAAAGTGGGAAAAAAATCGAGAAAACTTGGGAAAAATTGGGAAAACTTGGGAAAAAATTGGGAAAATTTGGGGAAAAATTGGGAAAAATTGGGGAAATGTGGGAAAAAGTTGGGAAAAGTGGGAAAAAATCGGGAAAAATGGGGGAAAAATTGGGAAAAATGGGGGAAAAGTGGGAAAAAATTGGGAAAAATTGGGAAAAAATGGGGGAAAAGTGGGAAAAAATCGGGAAAACTGGGGAAAAATTGGGAAAATTTGGGAAAAATTGGGGAAAGCTTGGGAAAAATGGGGAAAATTTGGGAATGAGCGGCCTCACCGCCAGGAGCTTGCGGCCCTCGTCGTCCAGCGGCGGCAGAACCTTGGCCAGGTCCTGGCGCGCCCAGCGGGGGAAGGTGGCTTTGTAATCCGGCAGCGCCGACACCCCCGGCCACGCGGCCTCGTCAGGAGTGCCCAGAGTGCGGAAAATGCGGAACAGCTGATCGATCTCGGAGTCACCCGGGAACAGAGCGCGGCGGGTGAGCTGTGGGG